GTTTTATAAGAAATTGCTCTTCTCTAATCTTAATGAGGTTTTTCTGAGGGTTGAATCCGAAGTTGGATCAGTTACTATCACTAAATCAAAATGTGTTGCTCCTTTAGTTTCAAACATGCACCTCCTTATATTAAACTGTTCTAACACCAGCCCATTTTGACTGAAGCGCTCCTGCAGGAAGATGTTCTGTCCAGCAGGTGGCAGCACACTCATGCCTCTGCTCTGCTTTCTTCACTCTATCAAATATTCAGGCACGTACTGAATGAGAGTCTGGCAGTTGTCTATCCGGACCCTCAGGTCCTCGTTCTGCTGCATGGTGTGGACGATCTGGTCCTCCAAAGCCAAATTCTTCTCCACCTGAAAATCAGGAGACGAGCATGAAGACGAAGAACGTCGCGGAAAGAACGAGCCCCACAAACACAAGGAAACGTAAAGACATTAAATGTAACTGAACAGGAATGAAATGGAGTTTGAGGTCAAAGTTCAGGTTTTCTGCAGTGTTCAGCACATGAAGTCAAACTTTTAAAGTCTTGTAACATCACAGTTACTACAAAGAGATGTCTTTGTACTAACAAAGTTTTTTTGCATTTTCTCTGTAAACTCTGGACTCAGGATTTTAAAAAGCTCATTTACCGATTATCTTACTGAGGAGGTGCATTAATTAATTATTCAGAGTTGTTTTTAAACAGCATGGGTCTAGAACTCAAAGATTTAAGGTAAATGGTTTTCTCTGATATCCACAGGCCTTTCTAAAACCTGCAGCCTGCAGCTGCTATTAGATATTTTGTATAAAACCTTCTGAACAGATACAAAAACTATAGCTGACAAAAAGGAGAGCAGCTCCTGCACATCTGAGAAAACTCAGATCATTTCACATGAAACACAGCTCGTTCTAACACTCAGCATGTATCTGGTGTCTGTAGCTTCATCACGTCCACATCAGCTTCGGCGTCATCGTACGGACAGGTGACGTACGGACAGGTGACATAAAAGCTTCACACCTGCACTCTTTAAACATCATCACGTACCAGCATGTCCATCTGCTGCAGCTTCCTGTTCTGCTCCTGCACGCGCTCACTCTTCATCTCAATCACAAACACCAGGGACTCCTGCTCAGACTCCCAGAATGCACCTGGGCTCCCGTGAGCCTAAACAGAATATTAAAGAGTTTTAATATTGTAGTTACAGGTGGTTTAAATTGATTTAACTTCAAACACAAGTTGAACTTTAAAAAACACACACAGACACACCTGTATATTCCTCTGCAGGTCCTTCTTAAACGTCGATTCTTCGACTCGTCTCTTCAGCTCGTTGTAAACCTGCAGCTCTGCCTTCAGCTCCTCCACTTTAGCCTGCAAAAACAAAACAAAAACACTTAATTCAGCTTCTTCCTGGTTACTGAATACATGAAACATCAACACGCTAACATCCAGAACAGCGCCCCCTACTGGAGTTCTCCCAGGGTTTCTGCAGGTATGTTTAACACTTTTCTAACTGCTTACAGAAACGAATTCAATACCTTCAATGCCAGAAGGGGCACAATGTACTCAAATATGTCCATGCAAAACCTCTGAAGCCTCAAATTCACACAATTTAAAAGGATCACCAGAATTATTAAACAGATTATTACTGTTGTAATTTACTGCTGTTTCTCTTTTTTCCCCCTAGAACAAACTGGATTCAGTGTTTTAAAAAAAAAAAAAACCTCATTCAGCTCATTGCCATTAGCAGGTGCCTGTGTGGTTATCCCATACAGTTTATGCAGTTTAATAACCAAGCTAACTGACGTTATTTGATGACTTAGCACTAAAAGCTAAGCTCATACTGAGGCTTCCAAACACAGAGTCTAATATATACAGACAAACATGGAATCTTTTATATACAGGCTGTGTCTTTAATTTTAAGCTCGAATTAGTGAAACTGAGGTCTGTATCATACAAACGATCTCCGCTCTCACCGTTACTTCACATATTTGTTCTTTTCATCAGCTACAAATACTTGAAATTACAATTACCACTTTTACCAAGTGCATCAACTGTGGGAACCATATCTTTTAAAATGTAGACTGTTATAAGAGCTTCACTAACACTTAATAATTAATGGGTAAAGCAAAACAAAATTACTCACACACAAACAGGAAACGCGAGACTTTGTGAGATAAACCAAGAATGAAATTAAATCTAGTTGTTAAATACAGAATATCATTTACATTCTCGGCTGATTTTCAGACTGTATTAACAGACACAAAAACACTGCTCGTCGTTTTCACGTTTCCACGCGTTTACCTTGAGAACGTTTTCAGCCGCCTGAAACTTTTCTGTCAGTTGATTTTTCTCGTGCTCATTTCTCCTCTGCAGCTCTGCAGGAAACAACACAAACTCGGTTTATAGTCCCAGCATCACATGACCTCAAACAGGTACATGTAGACCATAGCTAAGAAGTTTGGCGAAATGTTTTTAACATCTAACAAGACTCATACAGGATTACTTTTTAAAAGTGGCTTCACTTGTGTTTGTCGGGTTCTTTTATCTATAACAGATATTCTAATTAGACAAGAAAAAAAGAGACAAAAACAACCACAAAGACACATAAAATGACCAAAAGGAGACTAAAAATGACTTCAGGGTGACAAAAGAAATGAGAATCCAGTCTGCTTCTTAGTCATTTCCCGCTTCTTTGATCCTGGGGGTCTCTCTGCAGGAGGGGAAGTCTGTGGTCCCATAATCACAACTCGTTAAACAAATACAGCAGATATAAGTGTTGACTCTCCAGCCGTCTGCTGTGCGTTACCTTCCACGTGCCTCTCGTGCTCCTCAGTAGCAGATTTACTCTTCTGTTCATGCAGGATGTTCAAATCGGCCGTTGTCTCCGTTTTCACCTGGAAGTCAGGACAGATTCAGTTTAATAAAGAGGAAAATAATGAGACACAGGGCTCGCAAAATCGCTAGCCCGACGTCCCGGGGCTAGCGAATTTTCCAGTTGGGCTACCTAAATCTATCTCTGCCCTGCCCGTCGGGCTATCATAGGAAGGAAAAATATATGTCAATGCTTTTGCATTCTTTCGGAAATGTAGCTGGGTAATTATGTCATTGGCATCGGTGAGCCAGAATTTGCGCTTGTTTTTTGCTTTCACTTTGCAATCGCGCGAACTGTGTATAGAGAGCGACAGCACTGATTGGTGAGTGACGATCATTTGCACACCAATTCCTCTGACATCGTCTTATCAATCGTTAGCTTACTATGCAAACATGACAAGTGAAATCTCCCGCAGCAAGCTTAAACATG